TGAACGGCATCCAAAAGCACTCATAAACGAAATAACACTCGTAAGAGATAAGATACCCGAAGGATTATATCCATTATCATATATCTAGATACCGGAGGACTTTTTGCCTAACTAAAACGTCGTTTTCCCCGACGTATGACGGATATCCACAGTTCCGGGTTACTCGCACGTCGATATCATCCGCAAAGTATTTTATACCCGCATGAGAATGATATATCGTCTCTCTGTAAATACTAAGTTATGTACACTATTCGGGACTATCAATCATTCCGCAAATACAGAGTAAAGAAGCGCTCTTTAATTTTAGATTTAGATTATGCTGTAACTCGCTATTATACGCGTTCTCCTCTTCTCTCTCTTGCTCATTATAGATTTCTATCGGCGCAAGCATCGCGTGAATTTTCTTTGCTTTAGTTATTTACTCTTGTATAGAATAACATAACTCGCGTTAAAAATTATATTGTTCTCTTAATGCGTGAATTCATTATTCTGTAAATTCTACTCTTGTGTAATTTACTTAAAATAGAATAATTATTAAATTATTTAAAGGTATTCTTCAATTTCATAAAAATAAAGAAATGTGATTTAAAAATTAAAGAAACTTATTTTATTGATTATTATTTATACAAAAATACAGACATTAAGATTGTTAAAGAATATATAAAATTTAATATTACATGCTAAATCAACAATATTAATTAAAATATAAGTTTTCTCCAATTTTCAAGCTGTTTTTTTTTTCATTTTTAAAAAGTATTATTATTTTCAAATAATTAATAAGTATTTCATTTTAAATAATCATGCGTTATATGAACTTTTCAGACAGAATGTCTATTTATTCTCCAATTTTCAAAAACATAATAAAAAGTTTAAACAGTAAAAAATTTTAAATGTAGCTTTATAAAATATCCTGTCGATTGATTAGTAAATTACCCATGATAAAGAAGGCAAATCAGATGTTGCATCGGCAGATGGCACCAGCAACAAAGCGAACAACTTTCAAATTCCATAGCTTTGCCGCCACATAAAATTTGTTTAATTAAATTTTTTGCACTGTTCATCTTTTCTCCTTTTTCTGCCACACGAGAAGAAGAAAAGGAACAATAAATCATGCAAGAAAGTCAACTAAAAACAACCAGGTCTCTAGATTCAATTTCAAGATGAAATAATTCATAAACTCAACGAATGATGAAATAGAATGTCGAAAGTTCTCGAGAACATTTTGATACGCAATATTCAAAATGATATTCGCAAAAGGCAATTTAATCGTAAATTTTCTATTTCATCGCAGCGGGTGACATATTTTCTTGTTATCTATTTCGCTTAATTATCATTTATCTATTCACAATCGTGAATATGTAAATTAAACATCAGAGGCATACCTTCGATATCTGGCGAAGAGATTCAGTAAGTCGATTGCCACTCATAGATTCTGTCGTAGTTCGATTCGAAATCGATTCTCTCGAATCCAGTTCCGCATTGAGAAATAATCCCACGTCGTCTCCAATAATATAATCCAACATACTGTTAATATCCAAAATTCTCAAAATTTCACAATCAAGCACACCTTTCACAATTAAGCACACCGTACAAACCGATTTGATGCTAATACCGATATCTCTGGAAAATGACCGCGGTTTCTAAACGGCGCCAACACAGATCACGATTCAATGCGAAAAATAATTAATTAAAAAGAAAATTGTGTGAGCAAAGATAAAAAAAAATGCGTGATGAGCAAAAACCGAAAATGCGTGATGACGCAATACAAAAATTACTGTGGGAACAAAACATGTCCCATCCACTCAACGGCCGAAGGCGACCCGGAACTCGGAAACACAAACCGATTTGAAACTGTCCGCCGCGTCTTGCTCGCAGTGATGCCAGAAACAACTCTCTGCATCACGGCAGCATCGGTGGTGGGGCAGTGGCGGGCCCAGCGCGAGCACGCACACGGAACACGAGCCACGTCCATGCGCGCTCGGACATGGCTTGATTCTGTGTGTGTGCTCGCGCTGCGCCCCACCACTGCCCCACCACCGATGCTGCGGTGATATAGAGAACTATTTCTGGCATCACTGTTTGTTCGTTCGGCCGCCTGCTCTCGATTATCGTTCGCGCTCGTCACGTTGCCGACACTGCACACTTTCGCCGATAGTGGCGCACTCACGCGGTACACGCCGCCGTGTTGGAACACGGATACACGGAGTGTTGCCTCGGCCTATCGTATTTTGGCGTGTTGTGATTCGCGTGCAACATGTAATCGTGACGACAGGGTGAGTATACAAATCGTAAAATAAAGATGCCGAGGGTGTCGTGAGTATACAGCGATTATCATTTTTCCTTGCAGGACCAGAGGAAACACTCGCATCCGGTGGGATAGATTACCCTCCCCCCCTAAGGGGTGGGGTCGCGAGTGATCGCTGTCATTTACTGGCTGGCAAACAAGTTGATAAGTAATGTTAATCGCGTGAGGGACAATCAAAGAACGTAGTCATGGCTCGACCTATCATGCCGAGCCAGCAGAAGCTGGCCGAGAAGCTGACTATCCTGAACGACAGAGGTATAGGTATGCTAACACGCATTTACAATATCAAGAAGGCCTGTGGCGATGCCAAGTCCAAGCCTGCCTTCCTTTCCGACAAGGCGTTGGAATCTTCCATCAAGACGATCGTCAGGAAGTTTCCCAACATCGACATAAAGGGATTACAGACCATTATGAACATCCGTAATGAGATCATTAAGTCCCTGTCGCTGTACTATTATACATTTGTTGACCTCTTGGATTTTAAAGACAACGTGTGCGAGCTTTTGACCACTATGGACGCATGTGGCGTCCATATGGATATTACAATTAATTTTGATTTGACCAAAGGATATTTAGATCTTGTAGTCACATATGTCAGCCTGATGATTCTCCTGTCCCGAGTCGAGGATCGCAAGGCGGTGCTGGGACTCTTCAACGCAGCTCACGAGATGGTGCATAGTCAGTCAGATCCTAGCTTTCCTCGTTTAGGACAGATGATTATGGATTATGATGCGCCATTGAAAAAGCTCTCCGAGGAGTTTGTACCACACTCTAAATTGTTGAAGAATGCTTTAACCTCATTGTGGCCTGTATATCCTGGTAGAAACTTGTCTGCTGATACATGGAGAGCTGATCAGAAATTAAGTCTTGTTGGTAGTCCCGGCCAGATATTGAAAGCAGCAGCGACAGATACTATGTCTTGCGAAACATTGAGCTTGGATAGAATTGAGAGATGGGTGATTCTTGGTTTTACGCTGTGTCATACATTCTTGAATCAAGAACAACCAAGCAAGCTGTGGATCACTGCTCTGGAATCTGGTTGGGTATTGGCATTATTCAGAGATGAGGTAATTTATATACACCAGTATATCCAAACATTCTTCGAAGGTATGAAAGGATATGGCAAAAGAGTATCAGAGGTAAAAGAATGTTACAATCAGGCGGTACAAAAAGCTGGTTATAGGCATAGGGAAAGAAGAAAATTTTTGAGGACTGCTCTAAAGGAATTAGGTTTAATTTTGACCGATCAGCCTGGTCTCTTGGGGCCGAAAGCACTGCTGGTCTTAATGGGACTGTCTCATGCGAGAGATGAGGTACTGTGGCTGCTGAGACACGGAGATAATCCTCCTATTCAAGGTAAAGGTAAGGGACGAGGTGGCGAGGATTTGGTGGATCGTCAGCTGCCAGAATTGCTCTTCCATTGCGAAGAATTACGAGCGCTAGTAAAGAAATATTCTCAGGTGCTTCAAAGGTATTACGTCCAATTTCTTTCGGGATTCGATGCTCCGGCTTTGCATCAGATGATACAAAATCTTCCGGTTTGTCCCGAGGACGAGGGGGCTATTCTTAGTGATATGTGTTCAACTATAGCTAGTCTGACTGTCAAGCAGGTTGAGGATAATGAATTGTTTGATTTCCGTGCCTTCCGACTGGATTGGTTTAGGCTACAAGCCTACATGTCTATCGCAAAATGCAATATGAATCTGGCTGATAATAGAGAATTAGCTTCTTTCATGGATACAGTAATCTTCCATACAAAAATGGTCGATAATTTGGACGAGATGTTAGTCGAGACTTCCGATTTATCCATCTTCTGCTTCTACAGTAAGATATTCGAGGATCAGTTTCATATGTGCCTCGAGTTTCCTGCTCAGAATCGATATATCGTCGCCTTCCCGCTCATATGCAGCCATTTTCAAAGTTGCACTCATGAACTCTGTCCGGAGGAACGTCATCACATTCGCGAGAGGAGTCTTTCTGTTGTCAATATGTTCCTGGATGAAATGGCCAAAGAAGCTAAGAACATTATTACGACTATTTGCGACGAGCAATGTAACATGAGCGATAAGCTATTGCCAAAGCACTGCGCTCTATTAATATCGCAAGTTGTTAACCGCAAAAAGAAGGATAAAAACAAGAAGAACATGTATGAAATTCACAAGCCAGGCATAGAGAGTTATCGGAAGACTCGGGAAGAATTAACAACGATGGACAAACTGCACATGGCTCTCACCGAGCTCTGTTACGCCATCAATTATTGTCCTACTATCAACGTCTGGGAGTACACTTTCGCACCGAGGGAATATTTGCATCAACATCTAGAGTCGCGATTTGCCAGGGCGTTAGTAGGAATGGTCATGTACAATCCGGACACTAGCGAAATAGCCAAACCATCGGAACTTTTCGTTAGTGTTAGATCTTACATGAACGTCCTACAGACTATCGAGAATTACGTGCACATAGACATCACGCGCGTCTTCAACAACGCCTTGCTGCAACAAACACAAGAGTTGGATAGTCACGGTGACAAGACTATAGCCGCGCTGTATACACAATGGTACTCGGACGTTCTATTGAGGCGAGTTAGCGCTGGTAATATTTGTTACTCGGCGAACCAACGGGCCTTTGTCAGCTTGTCGGTGGAAGGTGCCATACCCTTTAACGCCGAGGAATTCTCCGACATCAACGAGTTGAGAGCGTTGGCTGAATTGATAGGACCGTACGGTATGAAGATGTTGAATGAGAACCTTATGTGGCATATCGCCAGTCAGGTACAACAGTTGAAGAAGCTGGTGGCAGGCAACAAGGACGTGCTGATCTCTCTGAGAACGAATTTCGACAAGCCGGAAGTGATGAAAGAGCAGTTCAAGAAATTGCAGCACGTGGATAACGTTCTTCAGCGAGTTACCATAATAGGCGTGATTCTTAGCTTCCGGCAGTTAGCGCAGTCTGCGCTGGTCGACGTATTGGAGGAGCGTATACCGTTCTTGCTAAGCTCTATATTGGACTTTAGACATCATCTGCCATCCGGCGATCCTATGCGAGTTGTCTCCGAGATGACATCGGCCGCAGGTTTGACGTGCAAGGTTGATCCCACTTTGACGACAGCACTGCGAAATCAGAAAGCTGAGGTCGACGAAGATGAACACTTGCTCGTCTGTTTGTTAATGGTTTTCGTGGCAGTTTCTATCCCGAAATTAGCTCGAAATGATAACTCCTTTTACAGGGCGTCGCTCGAGGGCCATTCCAACAATATTCACTGCATGGCCACCGCAATAAACAACATATTCGGAGCGTTATTTACGATTTGCGGACAAAACGATATAGAAGATAGGATGAAGGAATTTCTCGCTCTGGCCTCGTCGAGTTTATTAAGATTGGGCCAAGAAGCGGACAAGGAGGCAACTCGAAATAGAGAATCCGTGTATCTTCTGCTCGATCAAATAGTTCAAGAGTCTCCATTCCTGACGATGGACTTACTAGAAAGTTGTTTTCCATATGCGCTGATACGCAATGCATATCACGACGTGTACAAGCTCGAACACTCGCAACCATGAACTTAAGGGCGAAATTGCGAGCGAGATGGGGTGCTGCATTTTTAACTTGCCACTCAGGGCCACCTTTTTACGTCCACTTGTAATATCGGAGGCAATCATGAAGAATTTGCTATACGTCGTTTGGCCGAGCGATAATTTTCCGCATGGAAATTAGTTTTCGGCTAGTATCGCTGAAAAAATACAAGCATACGTCAGCATGAAAGAGTGGTAAACAAGCGTACAACAATTGTTCAAGAATTGTAAAGTTATCGACAGTGTACTCGATATTTCAAGAATGGCGCAAGCTTGCGACATTGTAATGCACTTTAGTCATTTTCCTACGTTGCTTGCGACAAAAAACACGCATCACGTTAATTTGTACGTAATCTGTTTATCACAAAAAATGTTTATATAATTCGATTCTACTTTTATAAGAAGCTTTATCGAGAAAAATTATACGATGGACAATTTGTCGCATCGACTTTCGTAACGTATTCGAGATGAAATATGCATTTTGTAATGTACAATATTTTTTGTTATATTTGACATCCGTCTCGAAATATTCATATTAATAATATAATTACGTATCTTAAATTTTACAGTCGAATATTATTATTATTATACTTTTATGTCAATGAATTTTTCTATGCACAGAGACGCCTGATGTAAGCTCTCAGTGATTTCAAGCTAAAAATCGCGATATTCATGTATCACACAGTATTATCACTTACTCACTACGATTTTTTAATGTACAATTGTAACTCTTTTACAATAGTTTATATAACAAATAAAACTATGTGTATAAAAGATGGCTAATCTTCACGATCCCACCGTCCCCGAGAGATAACACGCGGGTAAATGTAAAATGTATGCTTTATTTAGTTTCTTTACAATGTTTTGTCTCTTTTATAATCACATTAACGTAACACAAGAGATATTCACAATCATAATTCTTTTATTTATAATATTCTTAAAACACTCGCCGCATTCTAGACATTTTGAGAAAAGAGAGAGTGGTGGTCTGAAGCTACGTTCAGCGATTGGTCAGTATCATGCTCGGTTATAATAATTTACAATAAAGAGATACACCTCAAAAACGCATCACTCAAAGTTGCACCGACTAAAAGTAGAGATACGGCACGAACACAAGAGCCACTTGGTGATATCTAAGTAACAGTTTTCTGAATAAAAAATGTACGATTCCTCGGGGAAAACAATTCGCCGTTCACGATGTAATTAGTACAAAGGGCACGAAGTTTTTTTACGCTTAAATAATCCCGGATGCACGATGTTGATAGGTCACCACGTTTTTGGATCGATAGAAAAATATAATCTTCGATTTTTTTTTGTTCTTTCCTTCTCTAACATTATGTACAAGTGATAGAGTAGTGTGTTGTGTGTGCATCGCGTCACAGTAATGCGGTTCTGGATTAAGATCAGTACACCAATCGCGATGATGGCCTTGAAGATTTCCCTCTCGTTATTGTACGTGAGATATATATATATATATATATATATAACTGATGATTTGACGCGTTGCGCTACTGCAACGAACTGGAGGAGATTCGTTACCACGGAGGATTAAAAGTTGCATCTTAATCCAGATTCCGCGGAAACGAATAAGCTTAAGCATATGCAGTTAGAGGTCTGGGACAAATGATGAAAGAGAATTTATACTTATCTCTTATTATTCCTTTCGTACGCGCAAGCGACTTCATCGTCAACTAGTAACTACATCCTGACCCCATTCCATGCTCGCTTTTTAGGCTTTTTCGGAACGTAACGAGACATTGGCTACTTATTTTGTCGTTTTTAAATACTTATGTCGCGTACGAATTTGTACGTGATCTTTGATCATAACAGTTCAGTCGTTCGAAATGGTTAATGGCAGTGAAATGGAAGCAAAAGTAGTTCTCGCGTATCGTAATCGCGTTCGATCGGGACATCAACTCGTTCCAAAAGCAAATTCTAACTACCTCGAGATTGCTCATCAAATGGCAGTGGCTCGGAACGAAATGATTATCCAGAGATTCTCGATGATTCTTCGAACGACATTATTTCGTATTTTATATTTTTTCTTTAACATATGGAAAAACCTCCTCTCCTCTTTGACATAAAATGAAATTTAAAAAAAGACGTATAAAAAGTCTTTATCTGACGGCCCTTTCAAGTATCCACGCATTTGTTAATTATCACATATCTAGAAAATCCTAATTAACATTCATTTTACAGGAAATATTTCTAGCGATGCACTATAATGTATTAAAATCAATCGAAAACTCGAATCGTACCTGGCTACGTTCATTGGCAGTAAATCGCATCCGTGGATTGTCACGGATTGTTGCTAGCATCGAAACAGACTAAATCGTTCAATAATATCACGAGCGATTGCGAATGGGGTCAAACGGAATTTTTTTTGCACCTCTATACACAAGAAACCTCAAAATTTCCTAAATAACGTTGATCATTCGTCCGGTCCACGATAGATCGTCAAAGAAACATACTTAAAACCTAGAGGCTCAATTACACGCACGTACAGACACTCGCACGTCATCCCTAACTTCCGTTCTGATTACAAAATACAGAATAATATTTCGCTATAATACAGATCTGATATAAAAAACAAGTATTTTTTGTATTCGCTTTACCATTTTGTTATGGTTATATAATCATTTTATAATCAATATATTTACACAGATATACACATTTGCGATCTATCTCTTTCGCGGTCTCTCACTCACAGTATTTCCTCGCACGCCCAAAGAACTCTTACTTTCCGTTCCATTTTCTTTCTTTCGCTTATTCTTTCCCTCACAAAACCTCGTATGATCCATCTAATAATCACATTGCATCTATTGTACATTTCCACACGATCCGCAAACTCGTATTATAGCGTCTTTGCTGGCACCTCCTCGTTTTAATCTTGCATCCCTATATCCAACTTTTCGCCTAGATAAAACACAGTCTTAAAGTTACGTAGAGTTGTAACTTTCAATTGCGGATAGACATAGAGATATATTAATTAATTACACCAATTGAGATATTCGAAAATGCGATTGCATTCCTGTTTTTCTATGAATTTCTATATGATTGAAAAATAAAAATGAATATAAAATTTCCGAATAATCTTCTGTTGCTTACAAAAATAATGTCTAGATGTGACATTGTTTCTGCATTAAAATTTTAAAAATAACTGTCTGCTATGCGGACAATTTTATGTAATAATTATAAGGAAGTTGACAAAGCGTCATAAAATAGTTTGCTTTTTAATCTCATATTGCAAAAATTGCATTTGTTCGATTGTTAAAGCTATAAATCATAGAAAGTTAATAAAAATTAATTAATAAAATTTAGATAAAAAAAAATTTAATTTCTAGTACACAGCTTTTTGAGTTTCGATTTAGTATTACTACTAACTAAAATGAGCTTCTCGCGTATACTCAATATTATTCAGCAGTAAATAGAATACATTGCGAACAGCGAACAGTGAAACGTTGATCAGAACGTTTGTTGTTATCTTTATATAAAACATCGATAAGGGACGAGCAAAAAAACTCAGTCATTTGTTTCTCAAATTTGGCATTTCGGAGAAGGGAAGTGCATTAATCGTATCAACAATGAT